AAAAAAAATGTCTGTGCGTTTGTGGCAAATGGAAATATTATCCTTAAGAATGTATTATTCTATTGTTACAGTTGCCGAGTGTCCACCTGCACTTAAACCCTCTAAAAATAGAGTGAATATTGTTTTTCTTGCAGACTCATAACCCTTCAAGGACCTGCAAGTGCAGCCATACATTTTATTCAAGTCACAGGACTTTATTTTGAATTTAAAGGAAGACCCCAAAATACCAAATATCACTGACTGAGCTATGAGAAGTTGTTTAAAATGATGCAAGAACTCATGAGCGTTTCCATTTGAAGGCATGAAATAACAAAGCCAATTAAACATATAGACTTCCAAAAAAACAAAGCTACAACAAGTTGATGCATATTACACATATTACACATATTACACATAATTTGTTGACAGCATGTTTACAAAAAAGTTAGCTTTTTTATCAGTTGTTATTTTTGTTCCACTTCATTGGCAATCAGGATAAGATAAGGACACAAGACTAACAGTCGACAGCCATGCTGGCAACATTGTAAGACTGTAGCCACTTAGGTACAGGGATGCTAAATGCTAATGCTAGCATCGACACACGCTGATGTGCTCATAATCAGCATTTCAAATGTGAGTCACATTCACCCTTGTTGTGTAGCTTGCTAGCATGCTAATACGTGATGCAAATAAGCCTCAGAGGAACATAAATGAATCTGCAATTTATGACAATCCTTTCACCATGAGACATTTTCTTCAAAACCAAATGTAGGCACCAGAGGAAGGTCACGGTATAAAAAAAGGCGTTAAGCTTCATGGTTCGGGAGAAATAATTGTCTGCTCTGTTTTTCATGGTAATCCATCCTATAGTTGTGTCTAATTAGTGTGTGTTAAAATGCTAATTAGCTTTGCTTCCATGAGGCTGAATTAAATTATACAGTCTGACTCCTATAAAAATACACATTTCACAAGCAAAGTGATCATATGTTTGTCAGTAGGATTACAGATAGGAGTGGGATACAAAAAAGCAGGAAAGGCTGTGTGTCTGACGCATAAAGGGAGAGTTATCCTCTCAGACGACGGCTTAAGATGCTGCAAGTTGAAGGAACTGAGAGCAAATCTCATCTATTAGTCATGAGGTTTAGGGTGGACTAGAGTGTATCTGTAGAGGTTTGTGCAGTGCTGCAATACTCCTCAGCATGGGCCCGCCCTGACTGCCTGCCTGCCTGCCTGCCTGAACGCCTGCCTGCACGCCTGCCTGCACGCCTGCCTGCACGCCTCTCTCTCTCCTCACCTTCCTCTCTCTCTTTTCCTCCAGATCCCTTCTGGCTTTGTTGAATAATATTGAGTCATAAGATGGGAGGGAGAGTCCCCTCCCTCGCTCCTGGAGCTGCTGCCCCCTCATTTTGTTGGCTTTGAAGATGAAAGGTAGAGCTGATCACATTCATTAGAGGCTGTAAATATATATCCTTCCCCTCACATTTATGGGTTTAAGTTACTTTAGTGTCAGGCCAGGAGAGTCGTTTGGTTTTGAACTTTCTGAAATAAGGCCTCTCTTTCAATTGTATTAATTGCAATGAAATGGTTGCAGTCAAACAACTCGCGTTTGCATTGTTTGAAATATTTATTGCAGCAGCAGAACATAGTTTGAGTTTAGGCTCCGACCTCGTCAATCCTCACAGATTTTTTATAAATGCAGCAGTTAATGACATATTATCTTAAAACCTGGATGCTGGTGTGGAGGGGGGGTTTAGGTGCAGCACTGGTTCAAGACGGAAAGGCAATGAAGAGCATAGGAAGAGACCAGAAATCTTAAATAGACCGCTCGACTGGTAGGATGTGTGTGATTGGAGATTGTGAGAATGACGCCTAACAGTGTCAAATCTGTGCAGCTCGAGTTGTCCTATGAAGTCTGAGGTTAGAAGTGCACGCTCCTTTTCTCACAAGAAAAACAAGACTACAAACCAGAAGTTAAGTTTCCAAAGTGTTCCAAAGGATATAAGTGAAATCCTCTGTAAACATGAGGATTCTTCAAGACACCAGCTGAGAAAGACTGTCCTACTTTCCTATTTGTGACATTACTTTTTTCACATAATCCAAAGAGTTTTTTAAATGGTTTATTCAGCCTAGCAGCACAGTTGCTTCAAGCTACTGTTTGTATTCAGGACAGGCTGTAAAGCCTACAGCAGGTCTGGTATTACTCAGAAACAAAGTGGCCATATTTCCTTATTGGTGGAACTGAAATATAACCGGCACACCTTCCCACTGCAAAAAGAAATGACCAGGAGTTTATATATTTATTAACCTTGCACTTACAGAGCTGCTATAACTCCATTTATACATTTATCTAACATAGAGGTATTATAGTCTGAAGTGGCAAAGAAAAATATTTAATTGGATCATTCTGTACACATTTTTGTCTGATTAGGTAGAATAATGTTTAATCTGACTGGAGAAACTGAAGTCCCAAAAGGACAAAACAGAAGGGGAAAACCTGAATAAACAAATGTAGAAACATTAAAAAGCTTTAGGATTGTTTCACATAACATTTTAATTGTCCACTTACTTGGATAAAGCCTGGGTGATGAAAGAAGGCAAATCAAGATCAACTTCAAGCTTGTAGGCTTTGTCTTTTCTTTCTCTTGGTAGAATTCTGTGTTGAAAAAAATGATTTGAAGGTTCATAACAAAATAATTTCCCGCCCTTAAAACATCAAATTTCGGAAAAATCTTTGTAGATACATGTTGTTCACTTCTCCCCTTAAGATTTTATAGTCAATGTAAACTGTGTCAACTATGTGTCAACTATGCTACAAAATGATAAATGCTTTCTTGGAAAATATGATAATAAAGTAGTGTCACAACATTCATACCATTACTTTAATAGATTCATATGTGCAGTCCGATCCATAGCCAAATATGACACTTCTTATGTGTCACACCGTCCCCCTCAAAGTCCCAAAGAGATGATGTAAACATATTTAGGAATATAATGACAAGATAACAAATGTTAGATATGTATAGGCCATATGAACAGATATAACACACACACACACACACACACACACGCACACGCACACGCACACACACAGTTGCACGTGACATGACAGTGCTTGTGGCAGCTATCGGCTGGCTGCTGCACAGATGCTCTCATCTGTGTGACATGAGATAAACACATCAGGCTCACGTGTATAGAGAGAGAGAGAGAGAGAGAGAGAGAGAGAGAGAGAGTGAGAGACAGAGAGACAGAGAGAGAGAGAGAGAGTGAGAGACTGAGAGACAGAGAGACAGAGAGAGAGAGAGAGAGAGAGAGAGAGAGAGAGGAGCTTATGTGGGAAAGACATGATGCTCTGTAACGCTGCACTTTTACTATATTTGAGGCAGCAGTTGACAGAACTTGTGTAAATATCACAATTTAAATCTATAAAAAAACTGTTATATCAAAGGTCATATTCTCCAAACACTCAGCAGCAACTAAAACAAGAAATCAACCTGTTCAAATGAGAAACACATTGTTTATGTCAGTAAATGACAGCTTCAATCTGAAGTGCTGCATCAAGAGTAAAAAAACAGCCAGCAGCTGCCGTGTTATTCCCAGAGCTTGCTCGCTCTTAATCGCGGGATTCTTCTGCATCTGTGAGAGAAGACATGGGAACAGTGAACAGATGTTAATCATTAGAAAAAAAACATTTACACCATTATTCTGACAATGATTGTCAGACAGCACAAGATTTAAACATCATCTGAAAATCTGACAGATAACTGAACTTTTTTATATATAATTGTACTCATTGTTAGGGGGATCAAAAGTAGTAACTATGACAGAAAGTGTCATTGATGATACTGTAAGTTTATGTAGAGTTGAATGAGTCTTTGGATAGTGTAGTGTAGTTCCAGTGCAAAAAGCAACATGTAAATGTGATAATTAAGTATTGGAAAAGCATTAAACCTCTTTTTTTAATCTAAAAACTAAATAATGTTTTTTTACCTGCTTGTTGTTTCTCTACATCTCTACATTAACTTTAGGAGCAATTCATATAGGCTATTCAACTCAACTGCCACTTTATATGTCCCCAAAGGGCAATTAGTTTTGCAGCAAGGCATTAAAAGGACAGAAAAAGACAAAATACATTTAAAAGGCGAATTAATTATAAAAAAGGTAAGAGACACTGAATATAGCAGCCTTGTATTAACAACGATGGTCCTTGACTGATGATTTTAGCAGCCTACATTACATACAGAATAAATAGCTGAGTCAACATGAAATCCAAAAAGGTCATTGATATTCATCACTAGTCATAAAAGGCAGATTTTAATAGTGAAATACATACAGTACAAAACCCCAATGAGTAACTGCTCACAATGTTTTCTACACAAACAGACCAAAGTGACACAGCCAAGGTCAGATACTAACTGAAACACAAAAGCATCAGCATCATTGGTACCGGCAGCACAACTATCTCCCACCCCCTCGACCTGAATTAAGGAGGGAAATGGCAAACGAGTGCCTGTATCTATGCTCCTAGAAATCAAAAGTAAGGAACAACAATTTATTAGTGTTTGACTAAGCTTGAAGAGAATTTCTCTGAATGATCACAACATTTTCAGATGATAAAAAGTTCAAACCTTTACAGTTAAATGTTAACTGGAAAAAACACTTTTCTTGCTGAAATTCCCAGCCTAAGCAAATAAACTCTGAGGAGCTATTTCATCGACAACATCTCAAGATTTCAGAATAAAATGCATGTGCAGATGTGTCTTGGTAAACAAAACACATTTTTCACTGTTCAGACTGATGTTTATTTTCTGTAATTGAGGCGGATAAGAGAAAAAAAAAAACATTTGAACCCTATGATGATTGTAGAATACTTGTTTTTGTCTTTGCACCCAGCATGAGACCTTATCTGAAGCAAAGCAGACATCCACATTAAAAACACTGTAACAATATGTTTCTCCACCCTGAGCCTGCATGTCTGAGGACATCTGGCTTTCTATTGGAAAAAATAACAAAAAAGCAACTTGTCATTGTTTAAAATATCTTTAATGGTTCAGTTGGTATAGGATTTGGAAGCATTAAGTCAAGACATGGTCAGCAGCCATACAAAACGAAACCAACTAATCAATGTTGACTGAGAGAAAAATACAATTTAAAGGCAAAACAAAAAAAAAAAGGACAATTAGGCAACGTCAGGTCATCACAGTAAAAAGAAACACTGATCCTAATCAAAGTCAACAGCATGCTGAAAATCAAAATCATAGCAAGTTAACTGGTGATCACGTACGCACACGCTTTCACACACACATTCATCCACAACTTGAACGAAGGCTGCAAAACAACCCTGATAGGTCAAATGTACAGTAAGACGCCTTTTAGAGAAAAAAAAGAAAAACAATGCATAGACAAATAAAAAAAGTTTTAAAACAAAAGTAAACATAAAAAGACAAATGTCTTTGTCATAGGCGGACAGTGTGACACATCTGTTGGCATATTATGTTGCGATGATAAAAGCTGAGGACATTTAAAAAGAAGTTATTGCCAACAAGATTTAACAGATAACACTTAATCCACTGAAAAAAAAAGATCTTTTTTTTTTTTACATTTTAAAAGAGCTCATGGCTTCCACAGACGATTACAAACAATGTCATTGTGGCAAGGATTCAAAGATCCTCGACTCCACTTGAATGAACATTTTAAACCACGAGGCAGACATGCTTGGCTTTAAAACATTACGTTACAATTTTTTTAAGTTATACAAGTTAACAAACTGTACTGAAAACACATTAAATATTGATCATGTCACTAGAAAAACATGTCCTGTATTAACAAATATTCGTTTTAGATATTCCAGTTTAGTCAATTATCACAGAGATTTTTTTTTATAACTATATAAACAAAAATGGTAACAACTTTTCCCCCCAAACCAAACATAGAATCTCTGTGCTAAAAATCAAAATGTATTTTTTGCAAATATCTCATCGATGATAGTGCAAGACACACAGTACAGTCAGAAATAGCACACAGTTCTTATGTTTGCTTCACATGTTTCATTTAAAAATTGTTCAAAATTAGAGTTTGTGGTTTTAGTGTGAACAAACAGCCTTTAAGGAGGGACTCATGTCAGACTTTCACTATCTACTGGCTCTCCATTTTTAATGATGCCTTCAAGGAACAGGGAGTTGATTCAGTAAACAATAAATTACATCAATAGCCGTCTCTAATCATTAATGTTAATTTTATGTTACAGATAAAAAAAACAACAAAAAATACAAATGGCACACTCAATTCATTATTGTATTTTCCCACCTATCTGTACAATAAAAAAAAAAGGTTTTACATGTTACAACAAGCCTAAAGTAGTATTTGTTTTGGGAGAATGTGTACACCTGTAGTTTCATGTGATTATATCTGCTAGTGTCTTAAATTCTTATGCTTTCCTCGAGAGAAAAGCAAGTTTGCACTCTTAACAGCGTATGGTTCAAATAAAGCAGCAGAAGAGCGAGAGAGGCCTCATTTATAAAAACGTGTGGAGAAAAGGGTTTTACCGCTTTAAATTTCTGGACCACACTGGTCATTTGATTCTGCCATGTTAAGTCGCATCATTTTAAATGAAGGACTTAAGGAGTGTTCACACATCTCTCAGCACATTATTCTAGTTTTTGTACTTGAACTAAAGGGCAGACTGTAGATCCACAGAAAAATGCTACAGAGGGAAATTGTTGCAGATCTTAAGTAAGTTTGACTTAATCGTTTTGTTATTTGGTTCATAAATCTGGTTTGACCAAAAAGAGACAACAAGTCTAAAGAGCAGCGAGCAATGAATGATAAAAAGCCCAATTATTCAAATATTCATCTGACTTTATGCTGCAAAAAGGAGATCAATAAACCAGCCACAATGTAGTTTTAAGTTAAATTAATTGTGAATGAATGATTTACAAGTTTCAAATAATCTACTATGCCTTGCGTGTGGAGATTCAGTAATCCTGTTGACGCTCTCCAGAAACGTCTGTGTATGCATCACTTCCTGTTTTATACCCGATATGTTTATAAATGAGGCCCCTCTCATGACGGATTACAAAAGCCTTTATAACTCAACAGCTAAACCAAAAAAATAAAAAATAAAATGAGCCCAGTTAGGGTAAACAGAAACAACTAAACCTTTCCCCTAACACAATTATTCCTCACACTCGCTGCTTGACCAAAACTATATTTTCTTTGCTTCAATCAGCTGCTGATTGGTCATTTCCTCCGGTGACCTCAGCAGATATAACACGTAACACTGCCTAAAGTCTCAAAACAGACAAAATAATACAAAACCAACGCTCCTACCCCCCAAAAAAACAAAAAAAAAAACTACATTTGATATTCATCCACACAATCTGTGAGTGTTTTCACTGACGGCCTTCTTTGATAGGCTTTAAACCCACAGTTAGCACAAGAGGGCATCTAGGGTAATGGTATGCCAGCTTGTGTGAGGAGGAGCCATGGATGGAGGAGGCGGGGGGAGAGTGAGGCAGCCACTTCCTGGAGTCTCTTCCCCTCCTCTTCATTTCCTTCCAGCTGATCCTTCTCTCCTGAGCTCATCAGTGTCGTGTTTGTGGAGTTTGGGTTGTTCGTGAACCGCGTGTGGGGCGGGAAAGTGGGTAGGGCGATATGAATTGGTGTGGAATGGAGGGTGAGGGCGCGCCCGAGGTCACTGGCGCCGGTCCTCCGCCTCTGACCGCGAGAACGCCATGACCACGTCCTCTGCACCTGTAAACGCAGAACGAGGATCAGCATGTAAGACAAGTTTGATTCAGTTACAGATTAGAGAAATTCATCTAATGAACTCGGCAGCACAAAAGGTAACATAAACATCACTGACGATTTAAAGAAAAAAGGATAATACAAAAAATTCCAAATCTCGTGCTAAGTGTAATGTGAATTCAGTTTTGCTCCAGGTCCTCAAATCTTGCCGGTATCCTGTAAAGCCTGTCAGCTGTGACTTTAAAGCTGGGAGGGAAATGCACGGCCATCAAAATCCTTTTTTTTTTTTTGGATCAGGAAATGTCATCACTTCAAATGTTCCAATGTTGTGGAAAACACCACCTGCCATCAAAGCCCCTTAAGGAATCTGTGGCTAAGTGGTAGACTCGGTCATCCCTCACCCAGAAGGTCAGGGGTTTGATCTCCAGCCCCTACAGTCACTTGTCGAAGTATATTTGTTAAGAGATTGAATCCCACTGCTTTGTATATATATCACATATATGTGAATATGTGGTAATTGAAACATGTTGGGCAGTTTATGAAGCGGCGTGAAAGTGGCGTGAATGTGACATGTAGAGTGTTACAATTCACTTAGCAGACGCTTTTTATCCAAAGCGACGTACATCAGAGAGAGTGAAAGCGCTTTTAGTAGCAAGAAGAAAAACTAAACACGGGAGTTACTGTAACACATGGAGTGGCCACTCTGATGTGATACGTGTAGATCTGGGGCTTCAACACTCTGTAATCTCTGCTGCTGCAGCTCAGACTGTTCGGCAAATTAAGAGAAAGAAAAGAGGCTGAAATGATGTACAGAGGAAAAGATCTGATTTCTTTCTGGTTTGTTTTGTTCTTTGAACTTTTACAATGTTAATGATCACCAAGTGATGAGTACAGTCTCATATGAGTGGAGTCAACTAATGGCTCCTGTTAGTTATACAATTAGATAAAAAAGCTGGCTGTTGTTCCACCAGGAATCACTCATTAGTCTGCTGCTGCCAACTGTGATTCATCAAATGATTTTGGCAGGCACACACCTGCTGAAACGCCTTTTTTCCTACAAACAAACATATATTTTCTTATTCTGTTTGAGTATGATAAGTTAAAATACAAAGGCCTCTTTTAAGTGCCTCAAATATCCAACTGTACTTTAATGTAGGCCTCATTTTTTGGCATTTTCAAATTGAAAAGATCATTCTGCAAACCCTCCAAAAAACCACAGATAAGAATAAAAATGCTTTTGTCAGATTATTCAGGGAAACCTTCTATCTTTTAGTTATACTTGCAGCCTGATGAAATGTATTTGCTTTCTGGTGCTGAATGAATATCAATTGTGAAATATTTGATATATATTCACAGAGTACACACAGCAGTATTTCTAGAGGCTTTAATCCCCATATTAAAGACCCTTTTTAAAGGAGGCCAACTAGCTGCTACTGCTCACTGTTACCGTGATTCATCTCTGAAATGAAATAATTGACAAGCTTTAATCACATTCTACACCTTAGCAGACTGTTAATAACAATTCCTTACAGCATCTCACACATTTCTGTGAGGAAAAAAATCCTCTGAGCACAGCCCCCAGTTGCTTGTTAGATTTAATTATTGTGGAGATATGAAAGTAGGCCAGGGACTGAGATTTTCCGCTCCTATTCGGCACAAAAGGCGAACTCTCCATCAGACAGCACAGACCCTCCAAACAGATTTTTTGTGTTTCGTTTTGCTGTCTCTGCAAGTGGGTAATTAGCATGTCTCTATTCAGGTCGACTTGAGCTTGGTAAGATGGAGAAGTTTTGGGGGAGGGTGCATTTTAATATGAACTTTCAAGTTCCTCATCCTGTGGGAGATCGTTGGCCTACTGAAGACGGAAAGAGCCAATTGGCAAAAAGAGCATCATGAGAGGAGACAAGAGATAAAAAATATTGAAGACGTTATGTTCTTTAGGTAATAACAAGAGTGTAATGTGTTTGGAGAAGCACGTAGGGATAATGATGCGTGAACAAGAGAAAAATTATGTAATATCACACAATAGGGACGTCGACCTTTACTACTAAACTGCTGAATAGCACTGATGTTAAGATGATGTTATGTTGCAGGAACCTGCATAACACCCATTTATCACAACAACTGCCAGTCTCAATCATTTTGTGTCTGGCTGAAGGAGTTCATCTGTGTGTGACGAGCAATTCAGTGGAAGGACGTGTCTCATACTGTGCAACCTGAGCCCAGTGACCAGCAGAAAATGCTCTCAAAATACTCCACAGGGCCCAGTGGATGGCTGGGTTATATCTGGTTTTTATTTTAGCACTTTGCCTTGGAGTCACGTTTGGACCTCGCCCTTCCACACACACACACACAATACACACACACGTTCACACAAATGAAGGCGCTCAAGCAAACACGACGTAACCGTCATGTTCCTAAAAGCTGTTGCCTAGCGACAGATAAAAATCAGGCTGCTGCCAATGAGGAGAGGGCTTTCAAGGATGAAGCTCCAACCCCTCCCTCCGATGTGTGCTGATCTGCTCCTCACCCCGTCTGATGGGGTTAAACAGATTGGCTCCGGACAACAAATTACATAAATGATAACAACACCAGGCATGTCATCCTATTTGTTGTCTATAAATACTTTGAAAGAAGGGAGAAGAGAGCCACCTCATTCATTACAGTGACTGTTGTTCCAGGAAAAGAACTTGGAGAAAACATGTCTAGAAATTAAAGCTTCTATCCTATTAATGAGATTAAATGAGAAGGAAATTGGGCCAATCCTTGACAAAGACATTCCTTCAATTTGAATACTCATTTCAATTATATGTATTTCATCTAGAACTAAAAAAATAGTCCTTGGATTTAAAAAGATGCACAGTCACACGTTCCAGAGACTATAAATCAATATATGATCATGAATTCTTGTTAATTTCAGGCTACCTTTTCTCAGAGTTCCCTTGAACCTCCAAGGATAAGAGGGCCGTGAAATAATCATCTCTCGAGCCCTGCAGTCTGACTAAGCAGAGAAGCAGCCGCTGCATTATGACTCCAGTGCTGCACACAGTTATTAGTCAGAGTAACAGCAGCATTCGAGGTCACAATCTGTGCGGGGTCAGCTGAGAGGATAAAGACACAGGATCCCCTTCCCCACCCACCCCCATGGAAACGACAGCAGGGACGGGTTAAGAAGCACGACACACACAAGGGGAGTGTGTGTGGTCCAGCTCAACATGTTGACATAAACAAACACAGCGGGTCTACTTTGACTCAGTGTGTATTAAAGCAATGATGTGCTACTTCAGAGTAACACATGTGTATTTCTACTTCTCTATTCAAAACTCCTCTTTCTTTGAAACTCCAGAAAAAACAAAACGTAAATTATTTTCTTTGTTGGAAGATTATTCAGGATTCACATTTGTATAACAGGAATCACTGCATTTTAACATTGCCATCTTAGCCAAGTCAACGTTTTAACAGGGATACTGAATTTCTATAAAGTTCATGGGAGATTTAAGGTTAAAAAAATAAAAACAATCTATTGAGTTCTAGCAAAATGTTTTTCTTTATATTATAAATTATAAGAGCATCAGTGTTTTCCATCAAATTTGTCTGCTGTAGTTACAATTTAAGACCTTAAAAATCTTATTAAGTACAAAAATATGAAAATGAATCCTTAAGAATTGCACATTTGTGCAATAATTTGTTCTTCAAGCTTTCCACAAACTATTTCAGTAGTCTTTCTTCTCTCAATGGATCCTCTTAAGGTGGATCTGACATTTGATATTCTGCATTCACAATGGCAATTATCTTAAAAAGCAGAAGAATCTAATCTTTAAATTCAACTATTGCCAAATAGAGCTGAAGCAGAGTTTAGAGCAGTTGCTTTAATCTGTACTTAAGCATTTGTTTGCATAACTGCTTTACCTATTGACAAATTTTGCGATGTAGGTGAGTGGATATCTAAGGAGAAAACCACACTTCTGTGTTTCGATGAGTAGCGGCCGGGTAGTGCTACCTAAAGACCTGTGACTCTGGCTCTGATTCATGCTCAAAAAAGAAACAGAAGGTAAAAATCGAGGCCCCAGCAGCGTCGCCAAACAAAGGTGGGTCCTTGATGTGTGTCACTTGGCATTCATTCTTTAAGGCTGGGTTAAGGATTGTGTTATAGAGGGATTGTAAAACAGACAAGAAGAAACAAGATTGTGTATCGATTGCTGGTGGCTGCAGTAATATTTGAAACTAGAGAAGCCGACTATCTGTGAGAGGGAATGGTACTGACAGAGAGAGAGATTGGAATATCACACTGTATGTGTGTAATTAGCACTCCAGCTTGCCTCCAGGCCCCGTAATGACACCTGCTCCGATCTACTGATGCAGCACTATGAAACAACAGCAATACCAAAACCCACAGGGAAGCTTAGCTTTCCCGGGACAACTCGGGTTTCTATAGCAACCCCTTTTTCCCTATCCTTTTGTTGAGGCCATCAGACATCCCTCTGGTAGGAGTTCACTTTCCTTGTCACATCAGAGTAGATATCAAGTCGTTATTGCTGTCTTTATGTGTAGCTCTATGTGTAGCTCTGACAAACAGTATTGTTTATACATGATGTCAGTTATAGAAAGTTAAAGCAGGAACAACAACCTGATTGTACAGATGTCTTCTGTGCTGCATAAAACTAAATTATTATTCAGTTTACCAAAAAGAAGCAATTAACTATGAAACAGGGCCACAGAAAACAAGGCTTCATTAAATGAGTTCTTACTTCAAATCACATTAAAACACAAACATTATGCAAAATCCTGTCAAATCCACAAATATACTACATCGAGGTATTCACAGTCAGAAAGCTGAAAGGCAAAAAAATGTATACAATCTCAGTTTCAGAGCCTTTGGCATAAAAAAGTTTTGGCCTGATTAAAATCCCAAAACTGCATTCTGTATTTGCATGTATGGTAATAAGCCAATTAAAACTATCTGAAATGCAAATTCAGTGACCAAAAGACCAAAAAAGAAAATAAGTGACAACCCTCAAGATGGTTTTTGTTTCTTTTTTAAAAGAAGGACTCGGGGAAAAAAAACATTTGACAGCTGAGCAGAGCCTGAGAGAATGATTTTAAACTGTCCGATCAGCAGTCATGAAGGAGGCTGACATTGTTTGACAGATTGGACTGCAACACCTGCACAGTTGTTTAGCTTATGTATAATTAACAACAGCAATGTTATCCATTTGTCACATGAGCTTTTTTCTGCTCTCACACTTTCAGTTCTGTTGTATGTTTTCTGAATAGGGATGAGCCTTGACTTAAGAATGATAAATATATGAATGTATCTCCACAACACTACATTGCTCTTAGTGCCTTCAATCAAGAGACCATGTCTGACACATGATGCATGGTGAGTTTCATATCTACAGCCCAAAAAAAACCTTTAATACAGAACAAAGTGCACGCCCAATTTCTTGAATTTTCTGTCTCATAATGGGGTGTTCCTGCTCAAGGTAACCTAAACCTAATAATAAAATTAACTGAAGCGACAGTCTCGCTTGTTGATGCTAAAACAGACCGGTCAAGTATGATGATTAAAGGTAGAACTGCTATGAGTAGGTATATTGAGAAAACAAGGTCAAGTAAAGATAAAATAAGATTTGCCCATTTAACTGCTTGCTCGTCACACAGGGTATTAATTTTGCTCATCTGTCCTACACTTATTTTCCGCGAAGTTTAACACTTTGCAATTATATTTAAGATAACTATATTTTCTCCAAGATGGTGAAATGCAAATTACACATTGACCTAGATTTTGTATTTATTTTAAAGATTTATTTTGGCCTTTTGTGGATAGAGTAAGGGAGAGAGAGTGGAGAATGACATGTAGGAAAGAAGCTACAGTTTGGACTAGAACCCGGGCTGCCCGCACTGTAGCCTCTTTGCATGGGGCACGACCTGACTGCTGGTCCATCTGCGCCCCCTAGATTACATTTTTTTATTTTTCAAACAGGGGTTGTATTTAATTATACTTTATAATATGCCACACAGGTTATTTGTTGTTTGATGTCTGTGCCTCTGTTTTAAAAGGCCAGATGACTGTGTCGGTTGCTAAGCAATGACATTATCTTTCATCTCTTTTACTGAGCTCAAATGAGATCAAAAAGGGAACTTCCCTTTTCATGTAACTGAACCTCTTCACACCACCTCAAAGGATCACGAATGTGCTGATGCGCGCATCCTTCAGCGCTCCGTTTAAAAGTGATTAACTCTCAGCTATCTGCTCCGTGCCTGATCACAGTACTTCAGATAGGATGCAGACCACAAATTATTTATTGGCGCACTGAGGAGATGGCAGGCTGCCAGATGATTCTAAATGTGTCTGTTTTGTGATATATAATGCATGACCAGAGCACCTTTCCCTAGTCACTTGTACATTATTGATGAGGTTCTCCTTAGCAGTATTGACACAGTACAGACATGGAGTCCTGTTTCTACTAAAGGGCATGAAGGAAGAGAATAAGGGCATGCTGCACAAACTGACAGCCAGTCTACTCTGTAGTTGTTCAAATAGACAGACACAATTCTTCATAAAAAAACATAACATCAGTGACCATCTCACATTAAGTGCTGATTTTTTTAAGATGTGACACCAACCTTCTTTTGTGATGTGATATAATTTGTTATGCCGCATGAAGAAGAAACACTCTGTAGCAATAATGAAACTAACACTGACCATGATGCAAAACCCCAGTTAAATATTAAAAAAAACAATATTGCAGAATTCCAGACAATGCAGTTTAATTCCCTTCAGTTTATAAAAAATTGTAAAAAAAAAAAAAAAACACAAAGAAGGCCAGAAAACAAAGCCATTATGCTTTTTACTTGCTTTGTTAAACCAGTGTATAATCAAAAACCCTTCTCCACAGATTTCTAAATTCAAACAATGCTGGTATTTCTCAGAAGAATAAGGACATATACAAGGAGACCTCACACTACACTGTAGGTAGAGCATTGCAAGTAATTTTCCTGATTTAAAGCTCTCCTGAGGGACCGATATCAAAGCAAGGCCTGGTTGACCACAGGAGGACAGCAGGGATCCTATCTGACTGCTGTGTTTGGGCTGAGTCTGGAAGACACTGATAAGTCTTGTTATTTGGACTGAAAAAAAATCATCTGAGACTATCTGCTGCTGCTTTTCAAGGCAAGTGCAGTGCCTTGCAGCATACATACGTTTTAAAGCAGCACCCTCTTGTGGTTTAATAAAGTGAAAACTGCAGGGAGATCAATAAAGCTCAACAGCACCCTCTGGTGCTCTGAAAAAGCATGACCATTATAGGTGAGGCTTATAACAGCACTTGATAGGTGAATTGCTGCATCATATAAACATACATTTTTATATCAGTACAACATTTAGCCTCATTGAAGCAATTAAAGTAGTGATGCACTTATGCTGTGGATGAGTCACTTGTTTACAGTCAGTCTGTATGAGTAATCTCTCAGTGCTGGTGGGCTGCTGAGTCGGCCATAGTGCAGTCAGGGAAAATTTCAGGGCTGCTGGGGTAAATGCTCATGAGGAGAGATGTTTGTGGAGGGATTTCCCCTTGTTGTTGTCTAAGGAAGGTCACAACTCTACTCCATGTGTAGGTGGTGTTTGGGAGCTCATTAAAATGTGAATAGTTCCAACTATAATCATTCTGACCGGATGACTGAACTTAAAGCTTGTGTGTATGTGGGTGTGTGTGTGTGCGTCATGGCCTTACCCTGGTCTATGTTGTGCTGTGGTAGCTGGCTCATCTGACTGTGGACCACACCTGCATAATTCCGGAGAAAAGCTTCTTCACTCGGTGTAAGCTGAAGAGATATAAATAAAGAGACGTTAAAAAAAAGAATCAACATGAAAAATGTATCTTAAAGAAATAAAGTATGATTTGAAAATGTGTGACATCATGTCCAGACATCAAATCAATCTGAATAATTCTCCAAGAGATACAAATGCGACATTTTAAACAACAAATATTTTGAGGCTTTTAGCTGAATAATATCAAAGAAGTAGCATTTTTTTCCATCTGTTCTGTTGTGTTTTTGTTTACATCTCTGCCCCTTCGATGGTTTTTGATCAGGGGAATATTTAACCCCCCTGCCCATTTACAAAGTATTAACATTGTCTGTAGGTTATATAAAAAAAACTTAATTAAACTGCAGGTTTAATAATCCCTCTATGGTGGGGTCTGTCAGTGACTGAAAGTAGAGGATCCTTTAATGTTGTCTCTTTGTGACAATTGTTTTAACTCGGTTGGGGGTTTATGGCTTCGGGAAGCACCTGTTTGTTGACTTGAAACCTAGATCTTATTGTATTATTGCCTAATTAATAGCGACAAACCTAAGAATATGACTTGTGATCGAGATTGGCTATAATTTGGCACATAATAGTGGATGGGTTTATCCTGTTGCACAAGTTCATTTTCAGAGCAGCTATTTCACCAAGTGTACATTTGGTGTAAAAAACTACTTAAAATCAGACCTTTTTGTTATAATAACTCTTTTGACACATGCAACAGTAACCAAAGACGGATGATTTTGTAGCATCAGTTGCATATGATCAAATGATCAGGCAAGTCAGGCAATGGCATCTCATGGCGAGGTTTTCATTCTAACCAGTAAAAGGTTATGAAATTCAATCCAACAAAACTGATTTCCTCAGCCAGTTCATGAGTTGAGTTACAAGAATCACAAAATTAAACTCCTATTTATAGTTGTATTTCTGTGCTGGAACCATATTCTAGACAAAGTACTTTTGCTTTGCAAAAGAACAAACAGTGGTAAGTGTAGTGTCTCTTATTTGAAGGGTTGTGTTCCACATGACAACACTGCATTTGCAAGTATTTTGACATAGTTTGAAGGAAGACAGGCGACATTCGCTGCTGTAAATTTAGACTTTTTTCAAATACACTAATGTTTTAGTTCTCAGGAGGCTGCAAATGATCTCATCTCTGCTCAAATCCTCCATGCTGTCAGGAGGCATTAAGATAACAACTCACAACCTACATGTTTGTCACTTCTTGAGTTGAACACATCTCTGGAGCTACCAACTCCCTGCCTGATTCATAAATCTAAGTCAGCTCTCTGTGTTTACCTTTTGAAAAAAGTCAAATTCTAAACTACAATAAGTAGACCTGTGTTTATGGTGACACAAACATGGTTTCTGGTCTTGATGAACTAGTAAGAAAATACAGGCAAATGTGTCAAGACACCATACTTACATTTGATCCCATTTTCTTTAGCATGAGCAGGACCCGCACTTTCTGTTGGATGTACATGTCTTCAGGAGACTTCCCCGGGGCCTCCTCGCGGTTCATCCCCCCTGCTCCTGTGGCTCTGGACAGACAAATAAATAAATATTACACAAGAACTGTACAAACTTAGATCTACATAAATCATCACAGTGTTATTAACAGTTAACATTATGTAAATACTGGATTGTTTTAGCAACAACTGGACAGTGTTTGTGATGCATTAAGGTATATAATATAGATTCTAGTCTGTGTGATATGCTTAAATAACAAATGTCATAAAAACAGTAGTGACTTTTAAAATCAGGGGGTCTCAGTTTATTCAGAGTGCCGGTCTGGCATTTCACAGCCTGAATGGATGTCATTAATATTGCATAGTAGTTCTCACAAAGATCTCTCCTCTGCATGCTCCTTCCACCTCTTACTATCCATCTAACTAATGACCTATTTTCACTGTCAGTCTGCAGTGATCTAAAATATAGGCAAGAGGGGAGAAAAAGGGGGAGGGAAAAGAAGGCCATAAAAGGAGCTGCCAAAGCTAATGCGGACAGAAAAGGAATAAGTTCCGCTGTGATAGCATGCACACACATCAAGGTCGGCTCTTGTCGCATTAGATCTCTGCTATAATGCACCAACAAGATGAGGCACACAGCCTGGCTTGATATCCAGCATACATTTGCTAATTGAAAAGATGAAACATGCGGGAGAAATTATTCACAGAGAAGAGCAAAATTATTCTTCAAAAGGTGAAATCTGATAAGAGAACTAAACCAGAAGAGGATTTAAGAAAGAGAATATCAGTATGCAAGACAGGATTTTTTCTCCCTTGTGAATCTTTCACACACAAAAAAAAAGCCCACGCTAGCTACAGCGACTATGATAGTTCTGGCAATTTATTTTGGCCTCTTATCTACACAAAGGGCTACTAATGCATGTTGACAGGCTGTTTGATGTGGGGTTATATTTAATTGAAGAGCTGGCCCGCCATCCCCTCTCCCCTGAGCCCCGGGCAGGGGGATGAAGGGGGTAACGTTAGCCATTGGCTGTGTTTCGGTACCATTGCAAGCGTGTGGATTCATCCAGAGCAGAGCAGCTGGAGACCACGCTTGGGGCTATATAGTATTTATAATTATAGAAAACCTTTGGTGGCTGTTTACTGCAGGCAAATTGCACTGAAGTTTGTCTTCATATTTTTTTTTTCAGGATGCTGTATTAGGGGAAGAGGAATACATTAGATATTCAGTTCCAGCTCAGAGCCAGGCACAGATTAATTGGAGAACCACTGAGGACTCAAAGCTAGAAATACATGAAAAGACAGAGATCTTGCTGGATGCAGTTGCTCTCTGCACCTTTAGGGTGGTGGTGGTGATGACGGTGTGTGAATGTATTTCAGTATGGGTTGAGGATGTTGGTGGGGGGGTAGGGGCTGGCAGTGTCTTTATATTAGCAGCAGCCACACGTTTGATCGCGGCCCCCGAGTTCCACACTTCAGACAAATAGAAAAGCCGTGACTCTGGGCAGAGGACCTACTAGCCATCATAGAGAATAAAGAATGATAGAAATTCAGAAGCATCACTCAGAAGCTCAATGTAAATAAACGCCACAGCGCAAGTGGGTAGATGGGGGATGAAGAGAATGAACTGGATTACTGGAAGGTGCTGTCTGTGATTTAGAAAAAGACAAGTATGATACAACAAAAATCCATTAATACTCAGGTTTATTTTAAGACTTGACAACTTAACTTGTCTGTCGCAGCACAAAAGGCCAATATATTCCACATTCATCATTGGTATAAATAGGCCTACTGCTTTCATGACTGAGGCATTTCTGGGCGTCTGATGTTTGCTTTTGAAGTTTGAAAACTGGCCATATTAAGTACAATCTCTGTCCAGACTGCTGAATGGTCTGAGGGCTGCAATTTGTATTTTTACCAACTAAAATATATATTTTAACCTGAAAAATACATCACAGCATACATTTTTGTCTATCTTATCTAAATGCACAAAGGAACAAAGGAAGAGTGTTGAATCTAATAGATTGATCACAAAAGGGACTGAAAATAATGCTTTGTAAATGAGGATGATCCGTGATGCTCTTCTATTGCCACGGCAGGTTTCTTAGTCATTTAAAAAAGAGAATATAGAAAGAAGTCAGATTTTAGTAGATTAAACCTATTCCTATTGAGCAGAGGGGCTCATTTGTAGACCTCTGTTCATGGCTGCAGAGTAGCCACAAAGCAGGAATAAATACTGATCTAATTCTCCGTAAACTGGATGGCAACATGCATACAACAGTGATTAACAATGTGCATATGGTTATGTAACATGTGGTTTCATCCATGTTATCCTGCTGAACTAACTAGCTTTCCAGCCATGATTAGAATTCTAACAATGCTCCAGATGGCTCTCAGGATCCTGGCTTACAATGCCTCACTGCCAAAGACTGAACCTCTAAATAATGCTGTCCTGAATATCCCTGCTGGATTACAACATTTTGATCACACTGCGTCAAAGTAAAATCCAAAAATCCCATATGTTACAATCAGGAGAATTATCAGGAGCCTGTATGCTGAGAAATGTGACAGTATGAGATATAAATACTGCAAAAACAATTTGCACTATTAGTTCACACTTTTACCCAGATTAACCAGAGCTAAACTTAAAGGTTAAGTAAAAACTAGAACCCGACCGATTAATTGCCCGGCTGATAATATTGGCCGATATTAGCATATCCAGTAACTATAGTTATCGGCAAATTTAATCGCAGATATTCACCTCACCACTCAGCTCACCGTGAGCTGTTTATTGACAAGCCTCTGTGTGCTGTGATGCTCCTTAATACAATGCACCAGACATCCGCATGTCCACCTTTAACACAAAAGCACTAGACTTCCTACTGTATGCAAGGGGAAACAGAAATTCACAGAGCAAAGAAATAAATATTTAACAGATGCAGTGTGGACAACCAGCGTGCGCGACATGACACGATATGTGGCACTTGCAGGCTGTTGTTAGAGGGGTAGTGGCCTAATTTAAGATTAAGATTAAAAAATAAAAATAAAATACAGCTCGGGTGACTACTTTTGTAAAACTAACTTTGACAAATTGTCATATTTCCAAAGTTAAGTCAGTCCTATAAAATCCAGATTTCTATTATACAAATGTGGACTGACCTATAAATGATTAATTACAGACACAATGTGTTAGTCATATATCTATTTATATTCCTTCAAGCTGTATGCTGATTCAGGTCTTCTGGGAACAGGCACAAAACACAAACTGCTCTATTTATAATGAGCAATGACTGACATACACATTTGCCACTTCAGCAGAGTTCATAAAGAACCCTTCATGACAGTTTGGGAATAAACTGCTTTTTGTACAATGTTTGACTAATCAAACACACCAACTTATTCTATTATATTATAGATTCTTGGAAAAATGATCGCAGAGATAAGATTTGTCAGGAAGCAGTGACACAGAGGAAGATCATACGTGAAACAACTCTTAAAGATTGTGTTTTGGAAAGAAACCATATTTGTGTCCTTAAGCCTACAGGGTAATTCTAGCATAATTCTTAATGTGTACTCTCTGTTTTTTAACATGTCTAACATGGTTTCAAGGAGCACAATTAGGATCCTGTCTGAGTCCTTTGTGTGTGTGTGATGTTAGGTTGTAGAGGTGGGCTGGCTCAACACTAATCCCTCAGGGGATGCGCAGCCAGCCACAGACGCATGCAGCTAATATTCTAGACGTAATCAAAGGCTTTCTTTAATGCTGATCTAGTCCTAATCCCCACCCCTCTCTGTCAGTATTGGGCTCTTGTCAGCATTGTGATGTTGGGCTGAGTGGAGACATCGAGTTCCGTGAGCCCATTTAAGCAGCCAAGCTAAACCACAGCATCACCGAGAACAAAGTCAAGGAACAAAGAAATAAATAAATAAATAACTGACGAGTGCAAGCTACAAATCTTTGATTTGTACAAGGTGGAAATATGTTGTGAAGCAGAGACTCATATTTATCTGTATTGCATTTTAAACGCTCATTATTTTTACAATAAAAAAAATGGAATTTAAACAGACATGTTAAACTGTTAAATGTTAAACAAATCTGTTTTTTTAAATCTACCTATGTTGTATATAAGTACAGTTTCTAAGATCTGTATGAACAATCTGTACAGAAAAATTATACTTATTATTTTAAAATATATTATATATCTATTATAAATATTATTTATATTATCAACACAAAGCCATGTATTGAATACTGTCAGTGTCTGTTGCTTGCCCTCACAACAAATGGCAGGAGAATATCTGCTATTGCTGTTGTAATTTGAATACAGAAAGAATCAATATTACATTATTAATAATAGTATTTTTAGAGCCCAACTGATATAGGATTTTTGGGGTCCTGATACTGATATATCGACCGATATTTTTCTTAGAGTTAGAGATCTTAGAGATAGATATACAGTGTAAGGAAGACAAGATGGTCACTCAACTGAAAAGTAACTACACGTACATGTACGTGCATCACCGCTTGACACTCTAGAGAAAGTGATCATGTTTGTTGTAATTAGCTTACATTTTTAAACTTGAATTATGCAAAGAGTTGTTGCTACATCATTTCGAAAAGTGTCCACAAATTTAACCTTATTATTAGAGGGGGGAAAATCGATTTATGTAAAAATCGAGATTCTTCTCTTCTAAGATTTAAAATTGATTCATAACTTCCAAAAATCTATTTATTTATTTTTTGGCTAATCAGTCACTCAGTTAGTGCTAAGTGCTAAAACTAGCTCTTTAACTCAGTAGAATGACAAAAGGAGCAGCAAGAAATTCAGCCAGTCTCACAGATGACTGCAGCACATCCTGAAGTATGTACTAATTCAAAAATAGACTTTAAACCCACGGATCCATGAATTCAGAATCATTTTGAATCGAAAATCGATTCTGAATCGAATTGTGACCCCAAGAATCGAAACAGAATCGTGAGACATCCAAAGATTCCCAGCCCTACTTATTATCTGAATCCATTGGCTACTGCTGATTCTAAAATTCATATAGCCTCTGGGAGTGATGGCTAA